GTCTGTATATAATAATTGTGGAAATGTGAAAGAGGATTAGTTGTGCATAATGCTTCGAATAAATGACTGAAATATATCTGACTTGTTTTCTTTATTCTCTAGGCTCTTGCTAAACCAAGGCTTATAAATAATTGATTTTGTACACCTTTTAGAGACTTTTAGACCTTTTTTTCCGAAAAGTATAGGATGTCATGTTTTCGTGTGTAAAAGCTAAGAAAGAGACTCGATCAGGAAACCGACTTCACACAAAGATAGAGTTAAGCTATTTGATCACTTGTGCAGAAGGTGCTTTGAATTTGACGACTCTGCTTTGAGAGAGGCCTTCTGACGTCCAACGACAAAATCAGCAGTGCGCAGGTAGCCAACCTCCTTCTGAAGCGCTAACTTCAGAGCACCCACCGAGCTGGAGAAGTCTTATGAGGTCTTGCTCTACAACATCCTCACATAGAGGAGTCCATCGGGTTAAGGGCCTGAGAGGAAGAAGGTCACAATTCCTTGCTCCAGTGGCCCGGGAAGTGAGCGCCCAGGATGGCTTTGGTCGATTTGAACGCGTATTAGGGAGCCCAGCTTCATTGAAGAGCAAACGATCATTGAGCAAAATGCTCGTAAATCCAGAACAACATACCGTACCTCATTAAAGTCTTTTGCAAGACCTTCGAGTTAATTTTAACATTTGTGGAAGATGAACTCCAATGGAGCTGCACTTTTGGATGTTACCCCGTCACAAACTACCACACCTTCGGGAGAAAGTCTGTTGTAAACTAGACGTTATCTCGGAGACTTGCTCTCACTTTTTGGCAACAACTGCCTCTGACTTTGGTGGTCGCAAAGAAGTTTAGTTCGAAAATTTTCTCATCAACCCAATCCGTAAGAGAGATGCGGCGCACCTCGAGCTCGTGCAGAAACTTTTTGCATTTTATCAGTTGAATCTATTCGGGTTGCTCCAATAAAAACCAGCATAGAAAGAGTCGTATTGATTCAAACAAGTTGACTCCAATATTCTGAAGATCGGACAGATCCTGTCTCTAGGTGGCACTTTGCCTTCTCGCCCCGTCCAAAACCTCTGAGTAAGCACAGCTCTTGAAATTCTAAACTCTATCGCATCCCAGATCCGTGTGCTCTGCAACCATGCAGCAGCCACGCAACATGTTTCAAAGCAGCCGAAGAGGGAATACCGAATCGCTTCCCAAAGTTGCAATTTTAAAGACCGTCATTGAGCAGCCTTTAGGTAATGGGTCGATCCAAAAAATCTTTATGAGTTCAGATGAATTTGGACCAAACAACCTATGGTGCTTCTTACATGGTTTTGAAGCTTTTGAATGAATCTGAAACACTCTAAAAATACCTTAATCCACGCTCAGTCCAGCAAAGCAAGCTCCCCATACTTTTTCGCCACCCCTAGCATTTAACGGGCACGATGACCGCACCATGCTGAAACGGTCCACAGATAAACCGTCAACCCTGCTGCATCAAGAGAATATCCTCCTAGCCCGAAGGACTGAGGCATTCGTCCCAGCCGCCGAAGGAGCGACAACGAGGTACCTGATGAAGAAACTCCTTGACAAAATTTCGCTGAATGTCGAGTGAGGGATATTTCCCCAAGGTTTGAGGATATGTCTCCGAGGTTGGGGATGTATTCCCAAGGTTGGGGGCATGTCTCCGATGCGGGTGAGAGTATGTGTCCCGAGGGTTGGCGACATATCCCCAACTTCGAGGACATATCCCCGACCTCGGAGACTGGATGACCTCATCCACGTTTCATCACAAGCGGAAACCTTGTAACTCCGCCCCTCCTTAGAGTCGAGCCCTTTTCGATTGATAATTCAAAACAACACTTATTCGCGACAGATAGTGGAGCTGAGCCAAGGGCAAGGAAATCAACAACTTCGCATAGCAGTTATTGAATGCAATGTTCTCGTGTGGCTCCTGTGGGGAGAAGTTGACAAAACAGCAAACAGGGGGGGGGGCAAAATCAATGAGCCACTTTACCTATGATGAACATCCACCAAACTTTTCGTAGCGCAGGGTGCCGCTGATGATAAAAATTTTGCGGTACAATATTTCTTAGATATAGGCAGAAGTGGGCTCCTTTTTCAGTGGCCACACTGTCTTCAGAATATGACGTCACCTGCATCACCGTCAAACTCGAGGAAGCCTACCGTAATCGCTTCAGTGTGAAGTTAACATG